CACACCCTCCAGCTGAACCTCACTTCCGCCTACCACCTCTGACCCCAGCCCCAGCGCCCCGGGGACCCTAGACCCCACCATCTCTGACGCCCCACGTAGCGAGCGCCCGAGGCCACCTCCTCACCATGGTGACGGCCGCCGGGCCGCCGGGTGCAGTCCCCCGGGCGTGAAGAAGCTCTCAATTCTCGGGTCTCAGAGACACGCGAACCACCTCTTCGCAACTCGCGACAGCAAAGGGACACTTCTCAAACGACCGACTCCACCGAAAGCTCGACGCATTCGTTCCGAGTTCTGTTCTCCGCCTTTAGCAAGAAGAGCGGAAGTTGTTGTCGGGGGCGTTTGAGTGTTGCACCACCGGAAGTAGTGTGCTGCATGTGTCGGGGCAGGACAGGCAGACGCGAGAGGATATAGGTTCGGTTCTAGAGGTACCACGGCATTCCCCGAGGCAGGCGGACGTTGCGACTTGCGGTCTGTGCAGACTTTTGCGCGGCCCGGACTCCCGCTCACAACAGCCTGGAGGGAAAACGCTGGCCTCCGGGATGCGCCTGAACGCCAGGTGGGTACCGAACCGCTCGCCGCGGCTCCGCGTGCCTGAGACCTTGCCCGCCTAGGGCACCGCTGACCTTCAAGGATGCAACAGCCCTTCTTATGCCATCAGGTGTTAAACAGCTTTTAATGGGCACTGAAGCATTCTCCAATATAAGGATGAATAACTCAATGGTTAACCCTGGTAAGATACCACTCTTCTGCCCACGGGGAAGAAGAAAACCACCGAAGTGCCCTAAGTGGCTATAGGTGAGAAAAACGAGGCGTTGTGCCAGGCACTGCTGGTAGAAGACCCCTGCTTTTGGGGAGCTCACAGTAGCGGAGAGAACGTCTAAATACCCTATTTTTCATGAGTGAATATAAATTCCAAGTGTTATAAAAACACCGAGAGGGTAGTATTAAAACTTTGTAAGGAATTAGGAAAGGCTTCCAAGGAGCTTGGAGACTGAGTCGGAATTTGCCGGGGAGGGGCTTTGGGAACTCCAGGACGCTTTCAGGCGGCGGGGACCGCACAGGTGTAAAGGTGGCAGAGCACGGCGTGCTGGGGAATTCTGGTAAAGCTCCCAGTATAGCAGGGAATAGGAGAGTGCAGAGCTGTGAAGGGAGCTGGGGATAGATTTATCATGTTAAAAACCTTAAGGAAGGAAGTGACAAGATGTGGTTTATTTGAAGGTATGTGTTAATGGATTAAAACAGCATTTCCCACTTGAGTAATTTGAGGACTACCTTGTAAGACTGGTCATAGATGAATGTCACCTGTGTTATTTACTAATATTTTACTATGTTATATTATTTACTTAACATTTCCCCACACATTGTTTTATGTAAATTAATTTAACTTCATCACATTACCTTAAACAATACTGTCTGTAAAATCACAGGATTTGTTGGCTATTTTTTCTAATAATTTAGCAAACAATTTTATTTATTTATTTTTTTGGTCTATAACCTAAAATAATGATGGGCATTCTCTTTGGGAAACACGGTGTTGGAATGAGTGTCTCAAAATTTTTGGTCTATTGGAACCCTTCACACTCTTAAAAATGATTCAGAACTCCAGAGAGGTTTGTTTATATGGGTTATAATTGATATTCAAATATTAGAAATTAAAGCAAAACGTCAAAATATTTTAGTCACTCATTAAAAAGTTATACGTCCATTAAATGTTAATGTAAGTAATAAGTTTTATGAAAAATGCCCATTTTCCAAAACAAACATAGTTTGAAGATTGTTTTACTTTGGTTTACAATTTTGTAAGTCTCTTTAATGCAGTGGTTCTCAACCTTGGCTGCACATTAGAATCACCTGGGAATCTTTTTAAAATCCTGATTTCTGGGCCTCATCCTCCGGAAATTCTGTTTCTTTGTTACTAATGTTGTGCCTCACCCCATAACAAAGAAACAGAATTTCTGGAGAATGAGGCC